GCAGATACTACAGGCCTTGATAATCTCATGGAATGTTAGAATTTAGGTTCCCAAGACCAGGGGTTTTCCCCTAGAATCTGCTGTGTTCTTCAGACTTTTAAAGATGAATAATGTGAAAAATTAGTTTTCTGTCAGATTGACTGAGGCAGTAGTATGGAGGCAAGCATGAGGTCCCTTGTCTCAGCAGGAAGGTGGCTTTCAAACCTAATCACAGACACTTAAGTGGCAACTTAGCTAATCACTTCATTGCAGAGTGATATAGCATGTCTGAAGATATCTTCCTTCCTTTCAAAACCTTTCCAAGCAGAAAGGCAGCAGCCTCTCCATTTTCAAACAGTGATTTTTTTTTTTTTTTTTAATGCAAGTTATTTGTGATTTGGATGATTCTTCATTTGCAGTCAGTAAAGAGTTCCTAAGGATTAGTCAAAATGAAAAAGAAAGAAAAATATTCAACTAAAGACTTGAAGAGGATTTATTTAATATGAGAGGGTGTCCAGAGTGGGCAGGATGGTGATGCCCAGAAGTGAGAGACAGAAAGACATGGAAGTTTGAAGAGGCAGTGTGAATGCCAGTAGGTGGATATATTGTTAGAGCTGAAATTACACTGGCAGCTGCTCTCTTTATAATGGAGGAAACAAAGGATCAAGTTTCTACTCTTTTCTGATACTAGGAAGTCACTGAAAGGGAGACTGGGAGATGGTCATGTTGTCACATTGCCAGGAGCAAGATAACAGTTTCTCTTGGAGTATTTTAATCCCCAGTGGTTTGGAGAGAGAGGGATTTAATTACAGACATCTGAGATAAAGCTCTTAATGCAAATATCCCCATGAAAATTGTGCCAAATCAGGATTTTTCCATCTGCCTCTGTCTTCACAATTGGGAAGTACAGGAAGCAGTGGTAGGAATGCAAGACCTGAAGGATGATTGCAGCAAAGTAGAGGTCTTGCATTGTCTCACGTTTCATGAGGAGTGATGAGAACGGTCGTGTGGATAAGGCCAAGTCTGAAAATTATTAGTTTCTTTTTCAGGCTCAAGTGTGGTCTTAATGGAGTTAGAGTTGGGGTCTGGAGTTAGAGAAGTGGGTCACAAAATGAGAGAGTTTTGTATATATTGATATGATGTGAGAAGAAAATGAGAGGCAATAGATGGAGAGAAAGCAGTGTCTTGTGAAATACTGTGATGAAAATAACAGTTCAAGATTGAAAGTCAGTCAAGCAGATCTGTAAAAGGAAGTCTGCAAACAGATTTCAAAAGAATAGTTTAGGAGAGATACTTCACCAAAACAGTGACAAACAGGATTAATCAATAGTTTGGGAAACTTCAATGCAATCCAAGAATAAGCTTGAGAGATGGTCTGTTAATGGAGACCAACACTGAACAAACACCATGACATGATTTAATTGGCTTAAATACATTAATGAAGATCCTTCAGGCATGATGATGTTCATGTTTTCATTGTGTTAGACTACACATTTCTTACGTGTGGTTTGTATGATGTTAGTGGCTTCCTAAAATGAAGTTTGATGGTGATAAAGTAATTCTCAGTACAGTAAACTAATATCTGTATCTGTTTAAATAGCAGTCAAATCTGGGGCAGGATTACCAGAACATTTCTGTCCTTTCATCTGTGGAACAAATACTTTCAAGGCCTTATTTCTTAAAACCTATCTAAGTAAAGATATCTGCAACATAAATAAATACTGAGGGTATTTTAGTCAGAAGACTATTAAATGTATATTACCATAACTATAGTAGTTGAAGATCACTGAAGTTCTCAAGGTGTTTTGATTCCCCTTTCCCTTATGTTGGTAGTTTGATATGGACCAAAGCTTTTCAAATAAAATGTATTCAGCTTGTCAGAATGTCAAGATCAGGGTTATGAAATTTTTATGCAAAAATTGCAGGTTCTTTTGAATGCTAATGAAGCTGCAGCTGATAGACAGAATTAGCCATTTACTCAGTCACAGAGTCAAGGATATTTGATTGTTGCTGCAAATCCATAGCGATTGTGAAGCTAAACAGAAAATTGCATCACTTTTCTGTGCAAGAAATTGTAGGAATGTGGGGGAAATACTAAAAAAAAAAGTGGTCCACCAGAGTTTTCTCCCAAGATTGTGTAATCCTTGAATGTTCCCTTGCGAAGGAATTTTGAGATGCTTTAAGATCTAATGAGTTTTTTAATGGAGTCTGTTATGTTGTTGTTCCCCATTGTGTTACTCATGTAAAAAGTAATACTTTCCTTCTTTATGTCCTCAAAGCTTATTCTCACCCTTCAGTGCAGTAATTGTGGAGAGGTTGAACTTCTTGGAATCCATTGTATTTTTGTATAACAAAAAAGATTCCTCTATTAGGAATGACATGTTCTGTTTCACATTCTGTAATTTGACTAAAGAAAGCAATTCAGAAAACATGAAACTTTTTTTTCTTCTTTAGTCATTCCAGTTTTTATTGCCTGCTATCTCAAAACAAAGGCAAGAGGAGCACACACGTACTAAGTAGCATATGCTTTCAGGCAGAACGTAATCAATTGACAAAAGTATCAGAATGTGGAAGCATACTGACTAATTCTTCAATTTAACCCGTGTACACAAGCTACAAAACACTGGGAAAATGCCTCAGCTGTAATGGTCTTTGCTGAGCTATTTCAGCTGTGTTTGGTGGGCTGTGCTAGGAGATAAGGGGGCCCATTTGCTGTGATCTGTTGTCTCTCTGGTCTCTCTGCTTTAATAAGCAGCAGCTTTTGGTTAGTGTCAGCCACTGAATGAAGGTTTTTCTTGTTATATAACTGGTGATCAGCTCTGAATTTTGCAAATAAGTGACTCTCCAATGCAGCCTCCCATCAGAAGGGGCTTTGTTTTTTGTCTCCTTCTGTCTGGTTTGCAAGTAAATTGTTCCTGCTACAGCCCCGTGTGGCTTGCTGCTCTCACCCTTGGTGACAGCAACGCTTGCTGGTTGGTGATCTCTGCAGGGGTTTATGGCTCAGCTCTGCTGTTCTCTCCCTCTGTTCTCACTTCTCTGTTCCCTCCCCTACTGTGACTAAATAAATTACCTGTATGACATGTTCGGTTTTCTCTGGCAAGAAGCCTGGGAAATCAAATCTGTTCCCAAACCTGGGTCTCCCATTTGGCAAATATAATGCCTCCCTGCTGTTAAATCAGGTCAGCTCTCAGGAAAAACAAAGAACAGTTTCATATAGCTATAATCAACACAGAGTAAATTTAGATAATGCAGCTGACATATGTTTATGGTAAAGACCATCAAGGAAATAATTTTAAAAGCTCTTCATCTTTGTTGCATCAGGATACATGGTGAACATTCTGTGCACAGAGAAGATCAAACAGTTTTTTTCTGTTATCCCATATCAAAGTGAAATGTATCTATTTTCTGTCTGGTCTGAGAAGATTTTTGGTGGAGTGTTTCATTGGTTGTGTGAGAAACAGTTGTGTATTTAATTATGCAGATTGATGTAATTAATATTAATTAATACTTAACTATTAATTATTCATAGTCTACTTCTTTTGACTTTCTGGCCTCTGAAAGTGGAGATATAAGTGTTTTGAGGAGGATAAATAAATGCCTTTAATAGACTGTATTATTTTTTCTGCTTTTCCACTGGAGATGAGGCTGCAGGTCACCTGTGGCTGTGTGGCTGCAGTCCCACAGGCTGTGCAGTCTCCTTGCAGGGGGAAGCACCAACATGGGCAGCCTCCCTTCTCCAGCTGGAAGCTGAATTTCCTGCTCAGCTCTCTGGGTGTCCCATGGGGCTCTGAATTGCACCCCAGAGGTTCTTTGTTCATGCACTGTTAAGGAGCTCCTGCAGACTGCCCAGGGCTGTGGAGTGTCTCTAGTCTCCCCCTGTCCGGCTTGACTGTGCTGGGCAAGCAGAGCAAGGGTTTGCTGTGGGCAGGCTGTGCTTGTGCTTGTTGGGGTCTGAAACAGTGCTGAACCCCTGAGCTCGCCCCCAGCCCTCTTCAAAGGTGGAGCAGGCAGTTCCTAGTGCCCCGGGGGCACCCTCAGGGCTAGTGCTAGCCTAAACTATGAGGGTCTCCTGTGCTGAACTCCCAGGGCTGACTGTGCTGCCATTTATTCACTAGAGTTAGTAAAAACCACCATTCCTGGCTGTCTTACACTCTTACACAGTCTTCTCACCACTACTGACTGAATTGCTGCTGAGGGCCCTGGCTGGAAATGTTTTCTAACTGCAGCTGAATATCAGGTTGCCTGATCTGGAGAGGTCCAGCAAGAACATGACATGTATGGTGGCCTGAGTAGCAGAGCAGACTGTCCAGGCCTCTCTGTGGTCTGTTTTTCAAACTCAGCATGAGAATAATGGTTCATTCCCAAAAACAGATGGGGTCAAATGTATATGCTGTGTTTTCAAATGATATGTGCTTTTCCAGATCTTTTTAAGGACAGCTACAGTGTTGCTAGTGATTGTTTAGTCATTCATGGGTTGTCTTGGTTCTAAAGAATGCTTTTGTTATTTCTTCAGTGCTTTGAGATGCACAGTGAATGTTTTTTATCAATTTAAATTATCAATTTAAAAATTCCCTCAAAGCTCTGCTGTATGAGGCAAGTCCTTGGAATGGAAATTGCTCTTTATTGTCCAAAATCTTCATCCAGTGTATCCAACGAGGATTAAGGGGTTAAAGCAGTGAAATGAGTTTTAAAAAATGGGAATTCAGTTCCTGCATGCACCAGGACTGACCTGAAGCAAGGACCATCATCTCCATCCACATCAGGTGTGTCTCAGGGACTGGCAGTAGTTACGTTATCTGTCCTCAACTTTGGTATACCAGGACAGATTGCAGATACTGTGTCCTACTCTGAAAGTACAGGCCCTAACTCCGAAAGGCTTCAGCTGATAGCGCGATAGAAATAATTTCAGCTCTGCGTTGATGGCAAGGGCAAAACCTTCCTCATTCCCTTCTTAGCATCGAGGTTGGCCAAAGGAATTGCTGAGCTCGTTCAAACGCTGCTTTGCATCTTCTCTTCTCCAGCCTGCGACCTGATGACCCTGGGCATCTTGGCGCTGGTGACGTCGACGGGCTGCGCGTCGGCCAACGCGCTGCAGTCGCTGACGGACGCCATGCACATCCCGCACCTGTTTGTGCAGCGCAGCACGGGCGGCTCCCCGCGCACGGCCTGCCAGCTCAACCCCAGCCTGGAGGACGAGGAGTACACGCTGGCCGCGCGCCCGCCCGTGCGCCTCAACGACGTCATGCTCAAGCTGGTCACCGAGCTGCGCTGGCAGAAGTTCATCGTCTTCTACGACAGCGACTACGGTAAGGACAGCGCTCCAGGCACCGGCACGCTGGGCTCTTCTCAGCTGGGGGGTGGGGAGTGAATGGAAAGGGAAGGGTGGAATAGATGCTGGGTTTTTCACTGACAAAGTGTTTCGAGTGGATGCCGGTCTTTGTCTTGAAGGAAAGGTTGCTGTGAAGACTAGTTCCTAGAGAAGGAGCAAAGTTGCTTAGCAACACCTACCCAGACAGACAAAGTTTGAATCTTCTCACACTTTTTCAGTAAAATATTAATCAAGTGTTGACATTGATCAGCAGGGGTCACATAGATGTGCAAGGAAGTTCAGCATGGTCTCTACTTGTTCCAGAAAATGCTTTCTATCAAAACTGAGTACTGTTCTCTTTACAAATAAATTTTCACTATAACTATTACTTTTTCTACATGCTTCCACACACTATCCTGTATCTGGACTAAGTTTAGCAGTGATATTCCTGGCTTTAAACTGAAAAGTAGAGTTAGCATTTTCTCTAAATCTCATACATTTCCTTCAGCAAAATTCTTCCTTTGAGCTGAAACTCGAGGAAAAGGAATCTCTGCCCTGGTACCTTATGATAGGCATAAAGAATAATAAAACCCCAAATCTCTCATTGTGCCAGCCTCTCAGAGGGAAAAGGAACTGTGTATACTTTTTTTTTTTATCCCCTCCCACCCCTGCTCAACTGATATGAACGCTGTTCCTTATGTTTAGCTTGTGGTATAGTCAGCAATCCTGTCTTAGGATACAGGATCTGTAATGGGGAAAATAAATCTTGTATGGTGTTTTTTAAAACCATACTAACATTTTTGCTTTAAAATGTGATGCAAAATCTCTTGACATGGTGATTTAACATAAACAGAATATAGAAAAAGCAAACTTTAGGTTAAATTGCAGAAGGAAAAAACAATCTTATGTATGTCTGTGCAAATATAATTTAGCTTTTATACATCTTCCACCATTGCAAAATAAATCTTTATTTGCATTCTCCCTTTATGCTATCAGATTTTCAGTGGCAAGTGAGAGAGAAATAGCATCTTTGGTTTTGAAGTTTGGTTAGTTAGTTTTGGGTGCTAGTTTTGGTAATCCTGAGTCTTGGGTGCAGATTTCTCTTCTCAGTTGCTACACAGTTATTTGCTGTTTCTTTAGCAGGAACATTGAGGATGATGAGGATGGGTTTAAGTAGGAAATCAACTGAGACTGTAACATCCTTTTAACAACATAGAATTGTTTTAAGCATGAGAAGACTTCCATGATGCTTGTAGAGCTAATCTGTAGGCTCAAAAAATCTAGTAACCCAGCAAATCAACTGTTCTATAATTACTGTCCTCTGTAATGCTTGACCAGTGAATGCTTTGAAAGCAGAAGTCACAAGGTTTGTGGTAGGTGTTCTTTTGGTGGCCTTGTGGTAGCGATAAGAATGTTGCTCTTTAGCAGAGGATTGGATTTAAAGAGCTGAAATTATTCTAAAAGTTAATTTCAAGAATGAAAGGGGAAGTAATAATCGTATTAGGATGTCTTGGAAATACCGCAGGTGCTCAATGTGCAAACTGCTATTTTCCCTACTAGCCTCTCTGCTTACTGAACTAGTCCACTAACTGCACCCTTATTTCAGTGATGCATCTGTGTTTCTTTGTCTTTTTCTTCTTTTTTTTTGTTGCAAAGCCTTAACATCTCAGTAGCAAATCCTGAAACCCTTAATTCACGTACCTCTAAATTCAGTTATGATCAAATTGATCTTTTCTATTTGGCACAGGCTGTATCAGTAAGACATTAAGGTTATGGAAGACTGCCACAGGCATTCTTCTCCTTCCAGTGGGGAGTGTGGTGTGCATTGCAGCTGCTCTTTGCTCTCCTTCTCCTCATGGCTGTGACATCCATCTTAGGCTAATTCCAGTAGAATGATTTTATTTGTAAGAATTTGGTGGGAGGGGTTTCCATAAAGTTCCAGGTGAACCTTGCCAGATCTGGGCATGGATTGGTGAACAGAGGATAAATAACCAATCCACCTCCCAGGGTATTGCATGCTGAGCTCCAAAACAGATGCCTGGCTCCAGGGGCATGGCCCTTTCCTCAGCACTGAGCTTCCACAGAGCCCCGCTCCGGTGTCTCCAGCAGCACCTCCCTGCCCATTGGGCAGGAGCTCCCTGATGGCCATGATGAGGGAGATCACATATTTGTGACTACAGAGAGTTTCCAGCACTGAGCTTTGGTTGGGTTTTCTATAATAAGTGGTCCTTCTCTACCTGGCCTCTGAAAGTTGTACCGTTCCTTTGATTAGTGTTTTAATTTGTTCATTTGCTGGTCTCTAAAGGCCCTTGGTGTCCTCCTTGTGGAAACTGTCAGGTTTTCTGAAGACTAAATAGCATTGCACAATTTAAAGAATGTCCCACACTGTATTATGTTGAAGCTGAAAATTATTTATTAAAGTTATTACTTGTCCCTTTTTTGACATACATTTGGAATTATAATTTCTGTGGAAAAGTAATGGACTTGGCTGTTAGAAACACAGAGTAGTTTCTGAACAGCCTAACAAGCCCCTAGTATTCTTGTGGTTACAATGAAATATGCATTTTTTCACACTTAAATGACAGATACAATGTATGCACATCTTCAGTGAAAGCATATAGTTCTTTACAGTAAAATGCTTCAAAGTCTACAACTAGAAATTGAGAGATTCCTGCGGAGCTGTACCAATAGGGGAAAGATTGGTTTATAATTGTCCATTCAGTTTTCCTGTATTTATACAAGAAAAGATAGAAGCTAATAGAGATATTGCATCTTCATGATTAGCCCTTCTTTTTGCATTTCTCTCATTTATGGCTTGTGCATGGTTTCAGAAGATGCACAGAATCCTGCTCCCCATTGATCACACTGGGAGGCTGCTGTTGCTGAGGCTGACGTTCAGTTTTTGGTGAGAAAAACAGCTGCCCTTAAGTTTGCCAACGTCTCTCAGATGGTGCTCTGTGGAACCAGGTCCACCCAGCTGTAAAAGAATTTGCAACAGAATTCAGATCTGTTGTGTCATCCCGAGGAGGTTCAGTTGTGCTGATGTGTTTTGAATTATGTTTTCCTCTACAAGAGCATCTTTTGTGCCTCCATATATATTGCAACAATGTGCACAGGCCTGCTGGGAAGTTTAATATTTTATTTTGCTGACCTTCTGGATGTAAAAGTATCAGTAATCAAACTTTCCTGACAGAAAAATTGGTAGTGGGGCAAGTTTCATAAAGAATCATACCAAGCTGTAAAATGACTATCAGTTAAAAGCAGTGGGTGCCACCCACCAGAAAATGAGGTTGGGAAATAAACAGTTGAAACTGTGCTTCTAGGGTGAGCAAATAAACAGATGTGTGGTGAGAGGACGGATTTGAGAAGGCTTTTGGAGGCTGGTTGTGAAATGAAAACAATGAGGCATATTAAATCATATTTCTGAAGAGAAATGTGAGTAATAGCGATGTTTTCACTAGATTAACCTTACTACTGAAAAACTCTTTTTATCTCTATAGTTAGATTAGGTCTCTGCTTTCCTTCATACATGTCTGCATATCTGCATTACAAAATGTAAGTTAAAATAGGGGCTTTTTATGATTTCGCTTTGTCAATGAAAGTGGTATTAGACCTGTGAAAAGTAGCTGCAATAGTTTATTCTTAAGTTTTGGTGTCAGTAAGTGAGTGTTGTTTGCTGAAGTGTTGTATAAAAGTTTTACAGAAGAAACTTTTGAGGATCATTTGACCTCCCAAACCAAGCTATGAAGCTTGGTTCCTACAGGAGAAAAACGCCAAGGCCACAGTTTATTGATTTTAAATTTTTTTTCCCCCAAGATTAGAGGTCTGTTCTTTTTCATTGACACTGCATTAACTTTGAATGCTACTTGATTCATCTTGCTATGTGGAGGGAACTTAATTTTTGATATGACTGGTTTTGTAGGAAGTTGTGTTTCCCACAGTGATTATGTGGCAGTTTCATTTTTGAGTCCTGCCTGTCAAGGGCCTCATCCATGATTGTAATTTACAGGAATTGTTCTGTTAATAGTTTTACAGCAAGATATATTGGTCCTGGAACGGTCTGTCTTTTGTCAAGATTCCTTTGTGCAGGCTGCTAGCTTGCATTTATTTAATTTGCAGAGGAATGTAATGAAAATTGAGGAATGCATGCATTTGCACAGTCCACGTGGGGCACTGCAAATCCCTTGTGATGTGAAACATTGACTGTCACAACAAAGAAGAAGCAATACAGGGCATTTGCATATGAGCTACTTTCACCTTACCTGCTTTAAGTTTTCTTTTATCCTTGTTTATAACTTCTGCTTTCTGTGTCATGATTTCAGCTGCCAGACAACCAGTTTTGCATCACTGGGGCTGCCATATTTCCAGTGAGCATGCCTTGCTTGACATAAATACAGGCAATGTGACACTTGAGGCGTTGAGCCACCTGTACCTGTGTTGGTCGTGCCTCTTCAGCAAATCTGACACTGCCAGGAAGTGTCTGACTTGTCCTGCATGAGCTGTGCTGATAAGAGTGTGCATGTGTTATTAAAAATACCTGGTTTTCTTCCAAATGGTTGATGCATCCCAGCTGGAACTGTTGTGGAGAAGCTTGAATTGAGATTGCTGTTTAACAGTAAGATATATGGATTTTAGGCAGCCAGCTGCAGAGAAATTTAACTTTTTTATGCTCATCAGTCTGCAACAGCAATCACTTAGGGAGGGAATCCTCAGCCACCTCTACATTGATGCTGCTGTATGAGGTAATAAAGGGCAGGGATGGACTGGGGCTAAGCACCTTTTCACCCAGCAAGGAACAGAATTGCCTGAGTATTTATTCTGCACAATTTCTGCAGTACCTAGTTACTCAGGCATAACTGCACACTGGATGTCTAGTTTCCAGAGTTGTATAAAATCTACCTGGAAAAATGAAGGCCTTCCTGTAAGAAGTTTTTGTCTTTTAGTGTATGATCATCATTGCAGCTGCAGAGAATGCCAGGAAAGAAAGAATTCAGCCAA